ACGAAAGTAAGGCTCAAGTAAAGATTCATTCTTCAGCACGTAACGAAAGTGTAGAGGATGTTAAGGCGATTTCCGATAAAGAAGAAGGAAATAGAGACGAAGTAGAAGAGAGGCCGAGAGTTGTTAAGCCGAATCTTTTTGATTTGTCTGATGTTAGTGATGACACAGAGGTTGGTTAATTCTCGTAATTTATCATTATTACTACTGCTACTCGTGTTGTTGTCATTATCAGAATCACTAACCTATGAATTTTTCATTAGGGCAGTGAATGAAATTAATACTTAAAGATGGCTTTGAAGGAAAAGCTTACTGGTAATACTGTGAAATTTCAATTGTTGGTTTTGGAAACTGCTTGTTAGGAATTGGAACGGTGATGTCAATAAGGTAGTTATTTTAGGACATTGATCTGACACACTGTCGTGTTGACCATCTTCCCGACCTTTCTCGTTTCAAATGCTTAAAGGTTATCAAATATTTTAAAATTGTTCATTCAAAATGCTTGTTTAGTTTAGGTTGAACATATATAGTTTTTTTATGGTAGGCAATTTTGTTACCGAAAATTTACATTGAATTTGAAGCCATACTATAGCCGATGTCATGCTTGTTGGGTTTCATAGCGTTATTTTACATAGCTCAGTTATTTATCGTTCTTTTTAGGAGCTTTCTTTCCGCCAAAATTTCCTAATCGAACTTGACGAAAGAATTAATATTCCGACACTTACGGAGCTTGTTTTATATGATAATCAGCTTGAAGTTTGTGATTTGTTTTACAATTATAGGAACGTTATTATTATTTTTTTTTTTTTGTTTTCTGTACAGGCGGTAGTTTATTGCGCTGTAATACTTACTGCGTTGCAGAAGATCTCTCATCTCGATGGTTTGGTCAATTTGGTGTCACTTGATCTTAGTTATAACAGACTCAGAAAAATTGAGGGGCTGGATAACTTGGTCGCTTTAAAAGAGATCTTTTTTGTTCATAATAAGATTTCGAAGATTGAAGGACTTGATGCTCTCGTTAATCTTGAATATCTAGAACTAGGCGATAATTCTATCAAGGTTGGTTGTCTTCTACTTTCAAGGATAGGGCGTTACTGATATTAATAGAGTGTGGTCCTTTTTTTGTTCTATGGGCTCTGATAAACAGTGCTTTTTATTTTTTATAATTTTCCTAAGTAGTGTTTCTGAAACTTTTCAAATGCTCTTTGTTTTAGAAAATTGAGAATATCAACCACCTGACTAAATTACGTGAGCTATATCTGGGTAAAAATAAAATATCGCGCATTGAGAATGTCGATAATCTTCACAACGTCACCATATTCAGTGTACCGGTACTGATTTTATGTTGTTAATGGTGGTATCGACAGTTATGACCGTTTTGAGTGACGTCAAGTTTTTTCTCAGTTAGTCTGCTGTAGCTTTTTACGTGTTTTTTAAGGAATTTTAGTCTTGGAAATAAAATTTTATTTTTTAGGGTAATCGAATTGTTGATTTGGATGGAATAGAAGCATTGCCACAAGTAGAAGAAATTTATTTGAGCGATCAAGGGATAATCACTCTTAAGCAACTTGACCATTTGGTTGGTTGATTAAAAAATTGTATTAACGAGAGTTATTGTAATAAAAATTATTTTTGTGCAAAAGTCGCGTTTTTTGGTATTTAAAATAATTAATTAAAGAAAGAGTTAACTATTATTGATGCTGGAAATAATCGCATTAACACGATGGATGGCGTACAAAATCTCCAAAGGCTTGAGGACCTTTGGGTAAGTCGTTGAAATATTTTTGCTTATACTCCTGTAATTTTTGCGCGGTTATTCTGTCTATTTGCTATGTCACTTTTGTAGCTGAATGACAATAAAATAGCGGATTGGCATGAAGTAGAAAAGTTAGAGAAGTTATCTGCTCTTCGAACCATTTATTTGGAGAGGAATCCTATCTACAGCGCAGATATGAGCAGCTATCGTCGCAAAATTATGCTTTGCTTGCCTCAGATTACACAAATCGATGCAGTAAGATGCCGTTGAAAATCTGTACAGAATTAACTGTTATTCATCTCTCTAAAGTCTTGTGTTGTCTAAACCTTTTTCATTTCTTATGTATGTATTTTGTGACAGTATGTTATGTGTTTTACAGTTTGTTCATTTGAGTTTGTTCAAGTTTTAGCTTTATTTATGTTTTACTTAAAACTGATGAGTCACAGTATCGTAATCTTAGCAGGAGCCGAATTTTCTTCACTGATTTGCTTCATGGAAGTATGTTTACAAAGATGGGGCGTTTTTTTAAAATTTTCCAGCTATAAGTTGCAACTGACAAATTTTTTGTTGAACATGATTTTAGTTATTGTTCCTTACTTCTTAATCATGTTTATAAAACTAAAAAAATGGTGTTTCAAAGTAAAAATTTGGCGGAATAAATATTCTTGAAGCTCTTCTTTTCTAGAATTCAACTAATGGTTGTGAATAGCCATTAAAGTTTGGAAGGTTATTGAGAATAGTAAGCCATCTAACTGATTTTCTTTCCCAGCTTCCTCGTGAATGTCATATCATACTGTGTAGTACTGTCCGTCGATCTGCTTTGTTAATAGTTTTCAGTTTAATTGTTGGAGATTGTGTATCTCTTGCGTAGCGTTCATATTCTTGACAGTGAAATAATGGATTTTTGGCACTCGATAAACTTTCAGATTCAAAGCTTTACAGCCAGGAAAAGTTTAGTCTTATTCAAACAGTTATGGCTTTTTATTGCATTTCTGGTATCATGTTTTTGTAAATACTCATTATCTGCAGCTTGAGCTGTAACTAGTAGTCTTGCTTCTTCTAGAACACTGAAATTACTAATACTGTAGTGTTCAGCAGCTGTAAGTTATCGTAAACCTCTTCCCGTTGGTAAATTTTACTCGGTTAACTGTTGGTATTCAGTATTTGGAGTGTGCCGCGCAAGGAAGTGTGAGATTATGAGCTGTATAAGGTTTGTATCTAACATTTATATTGAGGCTTCTAATCGCTGTTTGGGGGATCAATAGGTGGTTTCTTCAGAGAAGGGTCAGACAACAATATTTTTGAGATTTCAGAAGCAAAAAATTTATTTATTGGGTCAACTGTTTTCGAAACAGCGGTGATCTTTTTGAACTTTTTTCGCAGTTTGTAATGTGATTACGGCAGATTGATATTTGAGCTGATAACAGTTTCTGTGGCCGGTTTTTTTGATTTTCTATAGTGTGTGAATTTGAAGTATTTTGGAAGCAATTTAAAATTTTTTGAGTTGAAACAACAGAGTACTGATTAACTGACTAAGGGTTACTAATGACACTTAAGGTTTTTATGAGCAGGACAACCTAAAACGGTGGAAAAAAGTATTCTGCCAGGCAAAGTTACTCACTCGTCCTGAACGGTGGCTGCGTTCAAAGTTTTATCTCTTTGCTAATAGCATTACACTGTGGATCAGAGAATTTCAAGACGCGTAGAAAATAAGCTGCATAGAGTCACCTGAACTTATATTAGCAAAGGCATTGGAAGTGAACATTTGTGATGTTAAAACAGTGGCTCATGGGAATTACACAGGTCACTTTGAAGAAGATTGACTAGGAGTTGCCCAATACATGATGATTTAACTTTTGAACAAGTTGTATATTTGGTTAACAGCCCTGAGGTTGTAATGAAATTTCCAGCAGTTGTTTTTCTAACACCTACCTTTCTTTATTGAAACAACGTAGCTATCGGCTAAATATTTAGTAGCTGCTTATTTCAGTAATTTAACAAGTGAAGGGAAGTAAAGCTGAGCTAAAATTGTTTAGGTTCTGGATGTATTTTTTAGGATAGCGCCTTATCGTTAGGGGATTTTTGGTATGTGCATGCAAAGCTGTTGATTGCAGAACGCCTGTAAATGCAGATGTAATAATAATTATTGCTGCAGTCTTGTTTTGTAAAGTATTCAGTAAAATTTTTATAATAATGCAAATCCGGGGACATTTCGTAGAAAGGGTGACATAACTTTTAAAAATATTTGAGTTGCTCTACTTCGCGTGTTTCAGAACTGTGGCTTGGTGGTTAAGTTGGAGTAATGTTCTGTAAGGGATTGATAGTTGGAAATGAAGCATTTTTTTTCAAATAGGTTTTAATTGAGTGAGCGTCAAGGTGAGTTATAAAGTTACGGAAGTGGAAATTGAAAAATTTGGATATGTGTACCTTAGCAGATTTGGAGCACTGGACTCAAGGAAATACAGCTGGGCTTTGTTTGACGACAATTCTCTTGCTTTATTGGACCTCTTCTTATATACGATTTCTTTGCATCTGCAACCTGGGAATAAATCAGTTAATCTTTGAAAACTTTGTCTTAATAGCTGAAAAAAGTAGTTGCTAGGAGCATTTGACACAAATGAAATTGCTTCATTAACGCATCAGAGATTAGGAAATTATAGTTTTTTTTTTCACATTTTTTTTTCTTTTGGACAGAAACTTTAATCTTCGAATAAAAAATTTAAAGACATAATGCAAACCATAGTGACCTGTAGTTTAATTTCTGAGTTTTTGACGAAATGATTTTAGAAAGAACTAAGCAAAGGAGCATTACTTAGAAATTATACCAACGTGTGCTACAGTGTCTGATTAGACCTTAGAGTGAATCTCAGTGAAAGTAATTTATAATCTATCCTGCAGAGAACTTGTGAATTTGGTTTAGTTTTCTTGAAAGTTTCGAACTAAGTAGTGATGCGACTTTTTTTTGTTTACTATCGAATCTCTGTTATATTCAAACAGTTGCAGAACAAGTCGCCTTTTCTCTAATAAAACAACTTTGTTACATTTGTGGTCTTTTGGAAATTCTTTTTGAAACAACTTGTGTGGCAGCAACTCAGCCTCATTTTGCTGAAAGATTAGAAGGATGCTAGATGTAAAGGTTTCCTTTTTTCAAGTTCAAAGCATTTTTCAAAGTGTTGTCTGTTTTTTCCGAACTCTTTCAGCTGGAACCCTTGGTTACATCGAGGAAGTGTCTCGCTCTGCCAAAAACAACCTGTTCAGCTACTTCAGCGAAACACGACGCCTTCTCTCCAATAAAAAAAATGCGTTGCAGTTTTTTGTGCGGGCTTCTGATAGGTCAGCATAGAAGTTAACCTATGGCGCAATCGTCTATTTTTTAATCAGATTACGGAAATTGGAGAGCAAACATTTAACGGAGCAGTCCAAAGATGAAAATGCATTTTGGAAGTGTATCTGAAATTTAATGTATATTTTGGAAAAATTTGGACGGATGATGTGACACAGAGACTGTGTCAAGTTATCGCGTTGAATTCAACTTTAGCGCTTTTTAAACTTTATTTTTTTTTAAATTTCAGCTTAAAATGCAAAACGGGGGAGCCCTTAGTATGTTTCAAAGCAATCACTATCTAATGAAAAATGAATCGTGGCTGTTAGCTTTTATCATGCCTCAGTAAGTTTGCTTATTGATATAGCCTTCAAAAAATGCACCCTTTCTACTCTCGGCAAAGTGGACCTACTAGTGATTGTTTTTAAATTCTGCCAATGACTCTTTGAAGAAAGGTGGTATATTATTCTGCTATAAAAGTGTTGCTGCAAAACGGTTCAGATGCTATGGCTTTTCAGTATTGATATAGTGATACTGGAAAGCTACAAGTCTTTCTGTAGGTAATGAAGTTTCTATAAAACCTTTAAAAAGAAGCGAATTTTCTTGACGACTTTTTCTTCTTGCTTTGTGCAGAACAATTTAATACACCACACTTCTTCAAAGTATTCAAAGCCGTCCAATTCTGCAGCTTGTGTAATGACATACATTCCTTATTTCTTCTGTCTAAAAACAGTGGGTATGAGAATTACGAGTGAGTAATGTTCTTTTTTTGGTCAGTTTGGCCTTCAAATCTATTTTCATTGGTAGGGGCCAACCTCCCAGAAACTAAATGATTTGAATCGCTTTACTTTAGTTTTAGTTTTAGTACGCTTAAAAATTTACATTTTTAGTTAACCTTACATGTACCTTTGTTTCAGTTCATACTGCCTTTATTTTCATTCAAAAAACCAATTAATATCTCACAGACTACTTCTCTACCTTTCTGAGTACCTAAAAAGTCATTTTTGCACAAGCGAAGTTGCCCGATATAGAGAGGACGATTAACCAAGCTTGTATGTTTTGGTTTTCCTAAAAAATTACTGGAGGAAGAGAAGTAAGGTATTCTCTTATGAATTCTACTGTAAAAAGAGCAAAGCCTTGAAGGTACATCTCCCGTCTCCTTAAAAAAAATAGTGACCTAACAACTTAATGTCGAAAATGTTTTTGAATAGCAAGGAACAGAGAACCCATAAACAAATAACAGAACGACTTTGTTGAGTTTTATTTCACAGTTTCAAAACAAGACACTGACAAGCGCCACCAGACTTCTTGAACTCGCTCATATCTATTTCATGTACTCGAAAACCTCGGTCATTGAGTTTTCTTTTTGTATCATTCGACATACCCAGTGGACTAATGACAGTGTTTCTGACCGTTATTGAATTACACACAAATGCATTAGCCTCTTCGTCATTAATCGCTATTGAATTTGGCATCTTTTCCAAAATCTGAAATTATGTTTCTCAATGCTCATAGTTTTTCTTCTTGTTGCTTTACTAACTGTCGTAATTAAGCCTACTTTAAATTTTTGTAGAAGGAATTGAAGTGAAAAAAAAGGTAAAGAACGATAAAAGCTTACCGTTTCTCGGGTTTTTGCTGATAAAGCAGGTGGGTAATATAGCATTGTGGTGGAATCAACCAGACACAAGCATGTATCTAAGTGATAAAAGTTTGGATGGATTAATTCACAGAACACCACTTCAAAATCGCCCATTGTTTTAATTTTCTCATAAACCTACAACTGACCCTCATTAGTTTGAGCTAATACTGCTAATTTAAACACTACGTTAACTTTCTCCACCTACCCTCAGTTAATTTTCAATGCAAAGAACCTTTTTTTCTGACCTCGGTCCATAACCAGCCCAGAGTGTCGAATAAGTCGAGAAAAAGGCATCACCACCCCCCTCGAAATAATCCTCATAACTGTCCCCGTAAATTTCAAAGTTCTGCTTCTTGAACCAAGGAAAAATTTCGTCTTGTTCTCCAGTTCGTTGCTAAAATTTGTTATTGTATTTGTATAGTTGAAAATTAAAATGACGAATCAGAACGAAGTATTTCTTAATAGCAAAATCTTTCTTGTGCTTTCTGAAGTTATAGAAAAATTATTCTTCTGGAATTTAACTGTTCACAAGACACGTAAAAACTAACCTTATGACGGAATCTGGAAAGGTAAACTTTACCGTCACCTTCCTCATTATGGTAAACTAAACCTGTGTTGCAAACGAAAACCATATCAGGCAGATTTGCCTTTTGTTGTAAAACTTCTACCTGTAAAGAACCTTATATAGCAAAAAGCAAGATAAAATAAGAATTCAGCAGTTGGGTTATGGTTTACAAGACAGGTACAAAAGTACTACCTTAACACCTTCTGACTCTATGGTAGTTTTCAACTCATTCCATTGTTTAGACGCTTTTGCTTTGTCCACGACGCCACCCATAAACGGATTAATTTTATACTAAAACCAATGCATAGCCGTTAGGCATACACTATGTTGACAAAAAGTGACTGCTTTTAACAGATTTATTTTCTGACTGTCACTTTTGAAACTTTATCAATTCAAAAGAAAGTCTTCTAAATTTACACAGAAAAACTAAATTTTTACAGTGGGTATAGTGGTTTATTCAAAAACCGGTCACCTCAACAACAAAGTGGTCAGGAGGAACCATAAGAACCCTTTGTAATGTTTCGTTTACTGGGCTGCCTTGAACCATTGCGAAACCGAAAAGAGTAAAATAGAAATAGTAATCTAAGAAAGATTTGCAATTGCATTGAGTTGCATAAAAACGGCAAAAAAAAAAGAAAGATTTGCAACGAAGAATTTGAAGAGAATGTTTAAACTGGGACTTCTTCAGTGGCTGTTAAATTTTAGTTATATCTTGCTTAGTCCATAAAGTCTTCGCTTTACTGTCATCACAGTATCAACTAATGGTAATTAGAACTTATCGCAGCTAATAATGTCGTTTCGGACCAGGATTTGTTGCGTAAATAATTTTTAAAAAGCAAGAAAAGAGAACTTAAATGAGTAGCTCATATGATATGACATCACATTTTACACACCTGATCTAAGAGTGGCTTTAATACATCAAGAAAAAAAAACATTTGATGTGGAACTTTTTTTCTGGGTACTAATGGACTAATGCTCCTAAAATTTTTGGCTTTTATTCAACTAAACTTCTCTATGGTAAAAAAAAAAAAACATAATATCAGGTCATCTACTGTTTTCTTCATCATTTCTACAAATTGTAACATTGTTTCAGTAAGTTCTAAAACTATAAAAGCTCAGAAGACTTTTGGCTGTAAAAAGAAAGGAGCGCTAAAAGTAATGAGAAAAAAAAAAGAAGTTAAGAGAGAACGGAGAAACAATCAATAAGCAGATAATTTCAACTATGCTGGCACTGTATTCAGTTTTCTCTGGTCCATCAGCAGTATTATCAGCCAAATTGTTATTGGCAACTTTACTTGAAGAATGACGTCATCAACTAAATTAAAATAGATAACATTGTTCATGCATACGAATACCCAAGTAACAAAATTGTCACTCTACACTTGTGAAAATCTTGCATTGGAACAATGGAGTCACCGACAGAAACCTAAATACATTGCTATATATTCTACAGAGACTGTAACAGGAAAAATGTTAAGAAAGAAAATTTTGGTTATTTTTCTGCATATTTGTCAACAGTTTTTATCAAATTTCAAAACACAGGGGAATTTTGTAATGAAAAATTCTTTGCGTAACGTCCGACAAAACTGTGATGTTCTACGGAAAATCCGTTGTTTGTTGTGCCATCATTGACAGTAAACTCACGATGTTTTTCATGCAACTTAACAAATCTTAAGGAAGCATAATCTTCAGCTTGCTATGTTCGTTTTGCTCTTCAATTACCGGTTAAAATATTAGCTTTGACAACAATCTACGTTGTTAACCACGACTTTCTCACGCATTTCGCCATCACGTTATTTTCACTATGCGTTCTAAAGCTGACACCTGTTTTCAACAGCATCTACAGTTCGCAAAACTTGATTTATTAAACTTCGATTTTTTATTATTCAGTAAATCAGAAACAGAAAATTAAAAACCTAAACGAAGTTATTAAACACAGTGCGTAGTGCGGGAACTGGATGTTGAATAGAGTTCTTTAGTAGCTATATTCAAAACTTTATTAACTGGCTTCAATAATATTTATATAAACCTAATTGCATTTAAAGTACATTGAACAGTGAGAAACTATGTACAAGTCAAAGCTAATAGAAAAAAAGCAGTTCATTACTTCACGAAGTCACCAACCACAAATTGATGAATTACTCTCAAAACTACACCAGATAACCTTAGTATATTCAATTGTTAGTTGATAAAAATTTTCAGTATCAGTCTTTCAGTTTTTCACTAAAAAATTCAGTCAATGAATGGTTTCCTTTTTTTATGCACCTAAGAGGAGTTGGAAGTTTAAAGAAAAACAGTCATTGTATAAATTATCTATTGAAGAAATATTTTTTTTGGCACTTAAAGACTATAAAAGTGGCGGAAAACTTATTCATTATTTGAATAGAGTTTATCTTTATAAGTGCTGACCAACGAATTAACAGCATCGAGCCAAGACTGCACAGGTATGTCAACACTACGATCATGAACGGTAAATTCAGATCCCAAAAGATTATTGCCACGAACATTCACCAACTTTAAATTACCGTCTGACCAGTCGAGACCTGAAGTATAATTTGAAGCATTTTTGGCCTTGAGGATAACTGTGTGCTTTTTGCTGTGGAGTGACAGCAGTGCCAACTATACTTTTTTTTTTTTCAGAGAATCTCACTTATTTAACCATCATTAAGTTCCTGCACAAAATTTGTTGAACATTTCTCTACTGACGGCCATTAGACAGTTCCATTCACCGAATCAATAGCAGCGAGTTTTTCCGATCAACAAGGCTGCATTCGCCGCTTTGGTATAGCTTTTGCAGCATAACCAGAGAAAAAAAA